TGAATTTCTGATCGTCAAACATGAGCAATTCCGTGTGGTGACGTAAGAGCCGACTAAGAGAGCAAAGTATACAGAACAACAGCACTGGAAAACATGAAACAAACCCTATATCAACCCGTCTGGCCAGCTTGGTATAGTAGGCCAAAACCTCCTTTCTAAGGAGCTGCAACAGTTCTAGGTCCAGCAATAGACTACTAAAGGCTGTTGATAATAATGAAGCATAAGTAGGTAGGTAATAAATAACAAAACATTTCCAACAAAATAAAAATTTATTTTCACATTTGTTAATTATTATTATAATAATTAAATAATAAATAAATAATTCGTCCAGACACAAGTCAGTCGTACAGTCAAGTCAACAAGGCCGAAACAAAAACCCAAGTATTTTTTTACAATTTAGAACTATGCTTAATTTAAAAATGACCTAAACACCGAGTTATATGAAATTTGAATATTATTGGGTTATGAGATTAAATATTCCTATATTAAATATAATACAATAGTTCATGTTCCATCCGCCGAATAGCTAGGACCAGTGTCGTCAAGATCTCGCCCTTGGATAACACCATAGTAATTAATAATGCAATGACGTTATGCTTCTTCAATCATTTCTACAGCATAGTCTTTTGAATAAATAAAAACAGACAACAAAAAGTTTCATTTAGTTTATAGTTAAGTAATATCTTTGAAATTCTGTTTTACATATAAAAAACGTGCAGTTTATTTAAATCGTAAAATTCAATCAAAAACATACTAGAATGACACTAGTATAAGAAAAAGAACTGAAACTGCCAAGCCAGAGTAGCGCTAAGCGAGGAGATGTCGCTTAACATACAAAAGTAGTAGATTTTTAAACTTTTTGAAACCGCTTTAAAAGATAGGAATGTTTCTTTTAATTGATGTATATTATCATACTATATGTTTATTTTGAAAAGTGTTTCTACAAAGAGGTGTCCTCCTTGTGTGTAACTAAACCTCTAGCTGAGGTAGCGCCACGATTTCACAGATACTTTCATATACAGAGATGGGGTAGCTTTACCTATTTATTCGTGTGCCAAGAATAAACATACCGAGTTTCAACGCGATGAATTTAATTATATAGGAACTCGTTATTTATAAAATAAAACTTTAGCATATAGCATAACTCATCATTGTTAGTTCTTGTTCTTGTTCTAGTTATTAGTTCATAAAGATTTGTTGTACACTTTATATGATTGTAGTAACTGGCTAGCAAGAAGTTTTTTGAATTAGTTGTAACTCGCAAAATGCAACTTTCGTTCATATGTTTAAAGTTCCAAGTTTGAGCAGCTTTCAGATGAAGGAACATTGAGGAGCTTAAATTGGACCGTGTTGTGCTGCTATAATCACAAACTTGAAGTATTAATGCTTTAATACATACTTATAATCTTCTTAAAACATATTTGATTATAGGTCATGACATTTTTTTAAATGCTTCGATATTTGCAGATAATTTTGAACAGTTACAATATATTTTTAATTTTAACAATGCCTCGTTTGAATGGCTTTTGCACAAAACGATTCAATTTTGAGAGAAAATAACGAATTCATTGCAGCTAACATTACTGGACTAATAAATACCTACTACCAATTTATTATACAACATTTAAGAGAATATTTCAATAACTGATATCAACGCCATCTATTAACGTACTTACGAAACCGATGATATCTCGGTTTATTTTAAGGGTTCGCAAAAAACCCAAATATCGTATATAGATGACGCTTTAATACCTGAATTGCAATAGTTCACACGTAAACTCACTAATAATACACATTTTCATCACGTATAAAACTGCTACAAGACTATAAAATCTTCTAAATATCATATTGGTATAGAACATGATGGTACACATTATGCTAAGAGACATTACAGTATTTGACTTTCCAGATAAATAAGTTACTATTTATTAGACTTTAAAATTGGACGTCTATGGATATTTTTCATATTTTATATTTGGAAAACACAATATAGATGTCATACTTAACTATCTTTATTATTAACGAATGGGAATTGTGGTGATTAATATCAGTCCACCTGTGATCACGGCCGGTGCAACCTGGTCTAAACGTCAAACTTAAAAGATTTCTAATAATAATAGTAGGGGGGCCTATTGCATTTGAAATATTAGGTAATACAATGAATAAAAGTTATATAATGTTTCCACTTTCAGCGGTGGGAAAAGCTTCTACATGTTATCAAAAATGTAGGGGAGGTAATCGAAAAAAAAGACTCGGGTCATCAGATATTTTGGGGATATGTTATTTGGACGCCAAAAATGCTTCCATTGAAAGGTCTGACGATTTTAAAGTGACACAAGCTCATAGCGAATTATCGAAAAACTGCAAATTCAAAACATCACCATTTAGAAATACCCGAGCGTGAGATTTACACACACACAGTTACAGTTATACAGAAGGATCAGCTTGATGTTCCTTCACACTAGCAAAAAATCTGACGATAATTTTGCAGAGTATTTTAAATCTGACGGTTAGAAATATATATTTTTAAATTTTAATAGAATGTGAATAATACAGACACGAAAAATTATGTATACATTTAAAGAAGATTTATTGCATTGTTTGCTTTAAAATAAAATAAGTTCATGTGTTTTTTTTTGGGAAATTTGTGACACTGCTTTAGGTCACGCTCAACTCGTCTGTTTTTTTTTAAATACACACTAATGTGTATGTACTCAACTTACCTTAAACTTACCTTTGGCCTAGATGCCTCCCCCCCCCCTCTCCTATATGTAGGGCTAATGTATGGTGGAGGTACTCAACTGGGTGTAACTCCTTATGTTAATCTGCCACGCTCGAGTAAATCCCGAAATCCCTTCTAGGGATCCCCTACTATACTTGACTTAACTTGACACATCACACAGACGACAGTCTAATCCCTAACTAGGCAGAACCTGTGCTATTATAATCAGACCGCTAATAAACATACATACATATTATAGAGAATAGACACTGAGATACAAATTTAATGTTATATTTTTTAATAGCGTAAAGGAGATTGCCCATTCATGGTTTCACTTTTTCATTCTTTTCAAATATTAGAAAAAAAAGATTTTAATGTGACTTCGACCTTGAATCTCTTCTATAGAACTTGGGGTTTGTATTAAAATTTTTATTGCCATTATATAAAATAAACCATTTATGGTTGAATACAAATAAACATGGTTTTAAAATAAAATGGTTGAATAATATTATACCTGATAATAATTCATAATGTCCCATTTAAATATCTTGCAGTATAGTAATCTTATTATTTGGTGTGTATAGTCGTAGTTTATTTAGTAAATGTATATTTCAGTGTTAGTTTTGCACGATGCCATAAACATAATTTAAAAACTCAAACCGCAGTGTAACAATATTTTCTCGCTGTTGATATTTTCATATTTAATTTCTCAAAAACCACAAGTTCTGTTAAAATAAACGTTAATATTTCAGATAATTCTCAATGCAAGCTTAATAATGTAGTTTATACATGATTGCACAGCCAAAAAAAGTGTGAAACTCATGTTCATACTAAAATGGGCTTTCTCCTTTTCGTTCGTTACTTATATTTATATATCAACTCTATTTCACGAAGCGTATGAAATAATTAATTCTAGACATGCACCAAGGTAATGCAACGGATGTTTTATTGGATTTTTCATAAAACTTAAAAAGAAAGGTTCGGTACATTCTTGTACAAAATACATGACATGACATTACAAGCGAATGTTATCAAATCATGTGGTTTGATGTTGATGTGCCGTTTTCCTGTATCTAGTAAATTTTAAATTATACTCCTTGTAGAACACTTATGTACTAAGAAGGTATTTTATTCATGGACAAATTAATTTAATACACTTTAATGTAAATAATCAGTTTATAATATGTAAGAAATACGTCCAACAAAGGTGGAGGTATAAGTCTTGTCATCATGTCGCAAAAAATACATGCGTATTTTCGGGATTTTAAGTATAAATGAAAAGATAAGACTTTTATGAATACTAATTAATTACGAATTTTTCATAAAAATAAATAAATAAATCTAACCACATATCACTGATGAAAATCGGCCCAGCCGTATAGTAGTTGCGAGGAACTTATACCCATATGTACAAACTTATAACCTTGAAAAAAAAAATATTCGATTGCAAGAACCATGCCCTACGTAGGCTGGAAGTTATCTATTGTTAAGCTGAACATTTTATAGACATTGTGACAAAGTTAGATATCTTATATAATTCAGTTTAAAAATATATAAAAACAAAGTGAATTTGACGTATGAATATTTCATAGTTTATGCATAGTTTTCTATATGGCTTAGATGTTTACTTTGTGTTGCTGAAAAAGCAACAACATGTATGCACTTTATCACAATAGTTTTAAAGTTTATTTTCGAGTGACTTTACGCTTATCTCGGCCTGCGCTGGCCCTAAATCGGCCATCTATTAATTACGTCACAAAAAAAATATAAGTTTTTACTCCTCGCCAGGTCCTCATCACAAAAGGTCACATGCCCTCTTAAACTTTGACATAATTTATGGTTAGCACCAAACAATAAATACATCATCAATCAATTCATCAATTCATTACATACTTTTTAAAAGCTGAGTGTGTATTTTCTTTATCAAATATCGATTCAAATATTAGGGGTTTTATGACTATAAAACTTACGAATATCTAAATACAATTATACACATTTAAAAGTGCAAATTAGAACATGAAATTGATATTTTAGCTTTGCTCTTGCAAAATATTGTACATTAATATAATATTTTGACATATACACATACAACACCTAAGACTTCTACATATACATACAATTACACTACATAGCAAACAAACTGTGGTTGTATTCATCATTTCATTTCTGATACATAAATATCAACTAAATAAAATATAAATAGTAACTAAAATATTTATATTAAATAGTTAATTGCACCAGTTAAATTCATTAGTTAATAAATAAAATCTCTTGAGAGTTAATCTTTAGTTACAATTTGAACTATAGTCTTTATAATTCGATTACCCTTCTCGTAATGTAACAAATTCAACGACGGATCATTGATTTTCTCTTCTAATAAGTTTATAAGCTCTATTCTGATTGTTTTTAACATTTCTGCAACCTGTAACAAATAAATTATAACAGTCATGTTCGAGAATTGGTTTGAATTTTAAACAAAAAACAGTATGTCCAGGAAGGGATAATATATCCTTCCAGCTCAAAGGGAGGATCCTCCGACCCAAGGGTGACAACGGTTGGAAACTTGTACTGTGGCGGTATAGATATCACAAAAAATGAAATAACAGATAACACGGTTCAATATACGTCGGTTAAAATAAAAAAATAAAAAATTAGTACGAAAATACAGAAATGCAAATTTAGAACAAACTAAATACAATAAAATAATTTCCGAATTAGAACACCATTGATAACATGAGTCGGTGAACTGTACCTACACGGCAGCGTCGCAATGTCGGCGACATCAAAACGACGCCGCCGCCGCGAGCCGGGAACTTTACATTCTTATTACCTACCTACCAATCACTTCACTTGCTTTTAAAAATCTATTTATAAAGAATGCGATTTTATTCACGTGTTTATTTCGTGAATGTTCGACTAGCTGCCGACCCAGCAGTACGCGTCACTCCTTGAAAAAGTAGTTACCTTGGTTGTCTCGTAATCTTTGTACCGCCCTTACAAAAATTCGGCAGTCTGTAGGACATACACGATTGACTCCATACGTGTCCGTAAAGCAAAAGATGCGTTTTGATAGAGTTTTCCATAAATTAACATCATAGCAGGATATTCCGCGGCTGTGAAGGTCACTCACGGCATTATGGATGTTGATATCGATAACCCAATAAAATTAAAAGACTGAGAATGCACTCAGTTTCACACTACACTACACACAGAATCTAATAGTGACTTTTCAAAATAAAATTAGCAGGACTCCTTACATTACGAAGTCTTGCGCACACGATAACATTAATTGTTCACACCATTGCCGTGTATTATGACGAAAGCAATAAGACTAAACAATTATTACCACAAGAAAACTTCTCTAAACAAATATGTATCTCATAAACAACAACAATATTATTATTACGGTTATTTGTCGTGAGCGCATCTACAAGGATACGGAATAGCATAAGCTCGCCGGTGGCCAAGGGCCGACTGACTGTCCTTACTGGATGAACTAATTAAAAACGCGTGTTGCATCGTGATGACGTAATAATCAACATATTTCGTTCGATTCGGGTGTAGTAAAAGCGGCAACGTGTGATTACCGCGCCGCGCGGCGTACAGCTGATCGCCGCCTGAGGTCAATGTATTATGACTGCATGTACACATGATGTTGCAATTTACGAAACACAAAAATGAGTCCTGTGGCTAAACTACTTTATATATTTTGTTCATATTTTGCAAATCGCCTAGAAATTAAGGGTAGAATATGTGGCTTAAGTATTTGTGAAAGGAAATGAAACTCTCTGTATATGCTATGGGTCGCGATATGAGAAGTAGAAGTTACTCCGTAGTTCAGTGTATTTTCGTTAAATGGCACTGAAATATGTTTTTTCTCCATTGTATATAGAAGTCGCCAGAATTACTGTACTGGATGAATTGAGAACCCGCAACCACTCCAACATGATTTTTTCGGAGTACAGTAACTAAGGAAGTATTTGTCATTTAACAAATTCCATTATTAAGGATTTTTTGCATAACAATTGAATTCCGAGCCACGACGTCACATATTATGATAACGGTAGTGAGTAATTTTGAATTACCGGAATAAAATAACTTATTACTTATTAACACTTGGTATTCTACAGCTGAGTAGCACAGTAACAGTTAATTACCAAAAAGAAACTTACTTCGTGTTTCTCCACTTGAAACATGATCCAACCATCTTCTAAAGACACTATGAATGTACCGTTGTGCAGCTCAACGGACAAACTGCAGCCTACGAAAAAAACATCAAAACATTTTACATTGAGCTTCACATTCAGCCTGTAACAGGAGTATTATTACTTTATAAACAATATACGGAGTAGAAAGTTTATCAACATAGATAATATTTCATTAGAGGACATTGAATTTAGATTTATTTTGGAGATTGAGTGTTTCCTATTTATAATATGTACGTATAATACATATTTATATTACTATTTATATATGTATATTTAAAAATAATAATAATTTGAATGATTAAAAAGATCTTACCAGAAAATAACACAAGTGGAAGCTGTGGGACCATAGAACACTCCCTGATGAACACTCGGCTAGTTTTCACCTGCAAATAAATTTTATATGTTTTAAACAAGTTTTGATGATGGGATTCGCTCACTTCAAACGGAACCGTAACCGATGGCCGTAGAGAAGTGCCACTCTCTACATCGACTGTTCGGAATTTCTGTCTAAATTCTCCTTGCATATCCCGACTAAAATCACACGCTTTATCCCACCAATGAGAGTAGCAGATGCTACTTTACTTTACTGTACCAAATAAAGACAAAACCGCTACGTAGTGTGAGTGAGCCGCAATTTTAAACCTGTGCAAACAGTACGACTTCAATAGTTTTTGCACAAAATTGCCCTCAGTCAAAAGTTATTTAAGTCAGAACTTTTTTGGTAAAGATAAACGTGTTTTTTTTTTTTATTATATTAAGTCAGTTTTTGTAATTTAACTGTTCTTTTTTTATTAGATTTAATATGTATTCTATAATTAAGAAAGTGTAAGCAGTGGATACTCTGTCTATCCATACACTTACTTATAATGTTGTCTATAAGTGGAGACTTGTCATTGGCTGACACTTTGTTATATGGTTTACTAAAATGTAAATGTTATTTTGGCTTTAAGTCTTTTCATAGTTTGTTAAATAAATAAATAAAAAAAAGTCACACCTCTGGTATAGCAATATGATTCACTACTAATATGAAAGCACATTAACTTATTGGGGTGTCATCCCAAACCCGACCTAAACCGGTACACTACCATCGGGAACACTCTCCCCATACAAGCATTTAACTTAGTTGGAGGGAATAATAAGTATAGAATGTGTCACCCATGTTAGCTTAGATAAAAAAGTGTTGTCTGTGATTCCTAGGGTAATTTAGTGTGGACACTCATAATTTAATCTTTCTGGATGTTCTGAACTGTTCTCTGTTCTGAAATATTTGATAAACTTAAAATTAAATATGAATTTTAACATTTATTTAACACTTTATTTAACACAGATATTTTTTAAGCCACAGGCTACTTTTCTATTCTCTTCGAGAGTTACCAATATATTATATATATGATATACCTTTTTTTTTTCCTTAAGCGATCTTAAAGTTTTACCTACCTTTTCTTGGTACACGAGATACGGACTGTTGAAGTAGCCAATATTGGAGTTAACAGAAGACGGGTGCAAGGCAACATATCCATCGGTTTTTGTTTTGAACTTAAGCTCGTCGGGTGTGGGTTGTCGAGGGATAGCGCCCCCAGCTTGCATGTGAAACGATTTCTCTGGGGTTAAAACCTATAAAAAGTATCGATTTCACATTTTCAAATTTAGAAAACAGGTCGATTTAGATTTGCAAAATATATTTTTTTAATTGGCCTTAGTCACAACCTGTTTTTTTATGGTATGAGGGGCAAACGACCAGACGGGTCACCTGGTGGTAAGTAACTACCGTCGCCCATTGACACCTGCAACTCAAAAGTCACAAGTGCGTTGCCGCTCTTGGAGTCCCTCCCGCCCGACATACTCATAATTCCTCTACATATTCATAATTATATATCATGGAACTCGAAAGGTTCGTTTTTTTTTCATTCTAACATCAAAATACAACATTCGAGGAAGTTTTAAATCTAGTAATATTTTGACCAGAATGTTTAGCAAGAATGAAACCTGATTATAACAATTATAAAATTATGTAATGTAAAACAAAGTAACATACATTACAAAACTTTTCAGTAAATCAACTTACTTTAACAACATTAGGATATAACGCTGCACATAATATAGCCGCCAACAACCTATCGTTGTTCCCGTTAGTGTTTAGCTGCAATATAAACCACACTATTATAAGAACACATTTTTATTCAGTAAATAGTCGTTTTTATCCAATAAGATACTCTTAGAAATACAAAAAGAAGAATCTCAGAAAGCTTTAACTCTCTTCATTCTTCAATTATATTCCATTTGTGTATTGATGTAATAATTTTTCATCAATAAAAAAGTGGATATAAAAAAACAATCATTTTACATATTTATTTTAAATATTGTCTTTTAAAGTATAATAGAAGAAAATAATATAATTCTTAAAATCCGCCCATGGTTCATAAAGATGCTTTCACATCACACATCACATCAACAGCCTTTAATGGACTGCTTCATAGGCCAAGTCTGCGTCAATTCACTGATGGACATAGGCCTCTCCTTAGAAAGGAGGTTTTGGCCTACTATACCACGCTGGCCAGACGGGTTGGTATAGGGTTTGTATCAAGTTTTCCTTCTTTTTGCAGTGCAGGTGTCCTGCTTTGTTTTGGGCCCTTAGTCAGCGCCCACCGGTGAAAGCATTTTACAGTTTAGCGGCATTTCGCGCTTTTGGCAGCTTATGAGAGGTTAAGTATAAAACTGATTACCTCCTCTCCGGTAAAACTGGCAACAGAATCTTTCCTCATTTTTTTCCTCAGCGCTGGCATATCGGGCACAAACCCTATGGACGCTAGCAGCCCCAACAGCTGATGTTTAATGTCGGCCAACATGAGTAACGTCTTGTGTGAGAGGAAGTGCTCGTTGGCGAACACCAGGGCAGCGTGTGTACTGGTTTTCATCGCTTGTTGCCATTTCTGGGAGAAAAAAGAAATTAATAGAGTTATTTTGCCAATGGGTATAATCTTTCTAACAATAACTAAATATATAAAGGTTCTGTTGTAACTTTAGACATTTAACCAACTGTATAACCATTAACAATATTTCATTCTGATAATCCATTTATAAAAATAATTAAACATGCAATATTTTTTCTTTTATTTTGATAAATCCAAGTTTAGTTTTCAAAAGCAGAAACTAGCATCGCTAATAATAATGTAGAGTTCTGTAACCATAGATTTTAACAAGGAACTAAAAAATATAAACACAATTTTACTTATATCATACAACTCTGTCACTGTCAACTTTTTACTATTGTGTAATATTTATTAAATTATCAGTTGTAAGAGAAGAAAGCTTACCCTGTAAGCTCTTAAGGTTGTAAGTTGATCGCTATTAAAACACGCAAATTCTCTTCGTTTTGCATCTGCTTCAGCCTAAAAAATAAAAATAAATAAATAATAATCATAATTTTATTGTCACATTTCAATAAACTACAATTAAATACAAGTTTGTTTTTACTTATTTCTGTGGTTATTAAAAAATAAAGTGATCCCGTGATTACAAAAAACAGTTAATAACTATTATTTTCCAATGTCACTCTCTGTCATATGGCTCTGTAAAATATGCTACATAAATGAGTGTTTTCCTTTGGCTTTTATATCTGGCGTATGATAAGGAGGTTTATATTATTTTCATTCCATTTTTTTAGTCTCGTTGATGAGTATTTGAAATAATGAAACGAGCTTACACGTTTAACATTAGTTTAGCGGGCGACGATGTACATACATCTATAGATAGATATACATCACTCGTACAAGAAGGACATAAAAAGAAATCAATTGGATTGACAGAATTTTAACTCTAGTTTGACACTTAAAAGAGTGTACTCTTTAAGAAGGCATACAAATTTAGGGGTAGAGAAACGAGCATCAACGAGCACGGTACCTTCTTGCCGAACGGCGCGACGAAGGGGCTCTTGTGGCTGAGGAAGGCGGCCATGGTGAGCGCGGAGTCCACGCAGCAGAAGATGGCGCCGAACAGGATGAGCTTGCCGATGCGCACGTCCACGGGCAGCGCCGCCAGGTGTCGCCCCAGCGCCGTGAGCGCCTGCGCCTTGTCCACCGCGCCCACGTCCTGCAGCCGGGACAGCGCGCCCTCTATGTTCTGCACCGTCGGCGGCTCTATCGTTTTGCCTGCCAGTTATATTAGAGTTGTAGGCGCTTGATTGACCCCGGGTGACACTGATATCTTTGTCAATTTTAAAATCGTTTTCATTTACACGCGATAACGCATTGATATTTCATAAATCGCTAATTTTTAAATACACTGCATGAAAATATTTTCCAAATACCTGCCGGTAGCCGTTTTGAATGTCATCATTTCCTCACCTAAAACCTCGTGAATACTCATATCTTGAAACAGCGGTAGGATCTTGATCTTCAAGACGAGCTGTTCCAGCGGCACCCTGTGTATCTCCGGGATGGGCTGGTCCAGTATGTTGTGGTTGTAGCGGTGCGAGGTGAACAGATGCACGCAGACGCCCGGCATCACTCGGCCCGCGCGACCTTTGCGTTGTTTAGCGTTGGCGCGAGAGCACCACACCAGGTCCAACGATTCCATGTTGCGGTTGGAGTCGAATCTGACAATTAACATACATACATAATAATGGATGAAAATAAATTGTTTATATCTGGTACACGTTTAATTTATGTATAGAATAAGACCAGAAAGCTTTTTTAAACAATGTAAACAAACTTGAAAATTACAGTGTATTGGTACATTAGTTTTAGTGCATAAGTATATACAGTGACAATTTAATCTATATTGCCCAATTAAGTAAACGGGCGATCTCTCAATTTTATTATATTGGTTTTGACTATTGGACTGTTTTGTGACATGAAAAAGTATTTGTTGTATTGTTGTGTTTGAATTGGTACTGGTGAGGGGTTTTAAAGAGATACAGAGGGAGTATACTATTTCTAGCGTTCGTTTTAATGATCCAAAATATCATTGAATTGAATGTCCTCTTGGGTACCGTTAAAAAGATGTACCTGATGCATTTTCTAATGGTTGAAAGTCAAACGAACAGAATTCATTTGTTAAATTCGTGTGATTCACTCACAAGGCTTACTTAACTATAGAGTATACCTTTTCTCCTTCATCCGGCCGCAGTCAATAACAAACACACAATCATCAATAGTGACGGACGTCTCGGCTATGTTTGTAGAAAGGACAATCTTCCGCGCACCGTGCCTGGGCTTCTTGAAAACTAGGGCCTGCTCCTCACTGGACAGTGTCGAGTGGAGTGGCACGAGAACGTACTTGCCGGTTCTGTATATTAGACAATAACATAATCAGTTTGTTGTATTAGACTAATATGAAAGATTTAAAAGGGCGTCTGTCATGATATGATGAAATTATAAACTAAAATATAAACCTCCTTTCTAAGGAGAGGCTTATGTCCAGCAGTGGACTATTAAAGGCTGTTAATGATGATGATGATGATAAACTAACGATCCTAAAGCATAGTTTCCAACTAGAATTTCTGTAAGTAAAAACGTTCAATTGCAGAGATAGTGTTTGACTGTAATGGGTTACAAATGCTTCGCTTATTTAATGGACTTATAAATTAATTATGTTACAATAAGTAGTGGATTTAAAAAAATATTTAAATCCACTACTTATTTGAGAATATGGGGAATAAGGTGTTGATACTTTCACGGTATCGCAACATCCCAAGTCTATTGAGAAAAGAGGTGACGTAGACACCAACAAAACGCGTAAAACGATAGCAGTTGAATGTACTTAATTTGCAGTTACGAGGAAGCATTACAGAAAATAGTACATTTAACTTACTTTGGACTGAAAGTATGACTTTCAGCAAGTTGATCATGGAGTGACATGATTTCTGCGATACCCGGCAAGAATATTAGCACGGCACCCTCTCTCGGCCAGTTGTGATCACCCTCCACTATGTATGTGAGAACATGTTCCACTAGTTCTAAGTTTATCTGTAAAACAACATATAATTTAATTATTAATGGACTTTGTACAGAATACAATGTAATTTATCACTTGCATTCATAGTTTCAAGTCAAATATGCTTACATTATGGTACTGTTAGTTCAAATTTCAATAGAATTCTAATTCTTTAAAAACTAATTCTAAAAACTAATTCTAAGCGTGTATGAGGGTCTTATGAATCTGGAAAAGGCGCGAACTGTATGCAAGGGTTATGACAAAATGTGTTCTACTATCTATGCCTACCCCGGAAAGAATTAGAGAATGTATGTAAAGATGCCATAACTTGATATACTTATGTTGCAATATTGGCCAAGATTTGCACACTATGTTCTTGTGTTATGATAGGTTCTAGATCCTATACTCGCTCCTATAGTTAAAGTGGGATATGACGATATCAGGACACAGAGCCTAAATACTTGCTGGCTAGTACTGAGTGGTCCGTTAACGATGCACTAATAGCGATCCAAAAGTTTTGTGTTGAGGAAAAAAAAAAAACTTTCTTAATTTTTTTGGTAAGACTAAAGCATTCAGAAAAAAGTTTTACCTTTTCAGTATCCATAAGGTACATGTTTTTGCATGTCGTTTTACTACACTGCGGGTACCTGGCAACTATTTGTGCAATGTTGAGGTTTTCGTCATGAATGGTTATCTTCGGCGGTTTATTAGAATCCGCACGAAGATCAGACGTTTCCAGTTCTGTTTCTAAGTCCTGTTTCTTTTCGCCTAGAAATAGATAACAACTATAGTATTTTGACACATTTAGACTTTGAAGCTTTTGTACGAAACTATAGTCTTGGAACCTGATTGGTCAGAGGGCGGGCTTGATCGATGCGTCACTATTTTCTTAACGAGAATAGACTTATAGTCGATATTTGTTACTCTCTACTAAATCTTAATGCAACTTTTTTTACATTTGTTTATATTCACAATTGAGATTCCGTTCTATTTAAGAACTATTTGACTAAGTAATCGAGACTGTAAGTGTGTAAAAAGGGGTTAGTACCACGAGACACGAGGACGTTTATCGGGTATGTTTTTTTTATGTCATTTCTTAGTAATAAATATAATTTACATATAGATACACTACATTTCTCTAGTTGCTTTCAAAGTATACGTCCTGAACAAAATATTAATAAATCCTTACCCTTTTTTAATTTCCTTCCGTAAGGTCCATTTTCTTCTAACACATAATTAGTAATGTCCATTATATCTTCCAGAAACAGTTGTTCTACAGGGAAGGTTCTACCTGAAAATAAAACATTTCATTTTAGTTAGCAACCTACCAAAAACTATAGTAGAAAAACTAAAAAATACATAAAATATAATCACAATTTTTCATGTTGGTTACCCATCCTAGTACAAACAACGCCCAGAGTTACTTGACTTCAGTGAAGGGAAATTGAGGTACATAAGGTTGAAAATAGTTTCAACCTTATGTACCTCAATTTACATCACTTCATAAATAATAAAATATCTAGATCGTGAAATAAAACTGAAAAAAGTAAATGTTATTAGAACATATTTACCTGGTATTTCTAATACAGGAATTTTGTCAAAGTATACTGAAAACAGATCAGCATTCAAAGTTGCACTCATCAATATAACAGTCAAATCTTTTCTTACTTTGACAAGGTCCCTTAGGATGAGCAAAAGGAAATCACTCTCCTCTGACCTCTCATGCACTTCGTCTACTAATATATGAGTAACGGATTTGAGTTGAGGGTCATATTCCAGTCTCCGGAGTAAGATACCAGTCGTGCAAAATGTTAGGCGTGTTTTGGACGAAATTTTGCTTTCCAGTCTTATCTGAAAATTAAATGAAAAAGGAAAACATAAGGTCCAGTTCAAAATTGTACTTTATACTTAGTCATTAAATTTCTTTATTGATTTTCACTTCTGACAAGAGGGTAAAGGATATAAATGTATGAATATTTTTGTATTGAAAAATACAAATAACCTGTCTTATCATTAATGATGAAAAAAAAGTCTTATTATTATAGAAAAGACAAACCTGGTAACCAACAACTTGTCCAGTCTTTTCTACTCTTTCTTCAGCCACTCTATCAGCTACACCAATAGCTGATATTCTCCTAGGTTGTGTACATATAATCTCAACATGTTTTGCTCCATCCTTATTAAAGTTTTCAAGCCAGTTGTCTAGAATATATTGCGGTACCTGAGTACTTTTACCACAACCTGTTTCCCCACTAATCACAACAACCTAAAAAGAAGGGGTTTCTAGTTACTGATCTCTGCTGTAAGGTCAATTGTGTCAATTTAGTCAAATGGTGGTTTTTAGTGGTCAGATAAATGTATCTGACCAAAAGATGATTATTTTTAACAATAATTTTTGTTTTTTTTTAAAGACAACTCCCGCATTAGGAATATATCCTGTGTCGCAGGGGACTTTACAAACATACATGAAACAGACACAAAGAACACCCAGACTCAGAACAACAATTTGTGGATCACACAAAGTGTCGTCCCATGTAGGGTTTGAACCCACAACACTCGGCGCAGTAGGAAGCGGCGTTGCGACCGCTTAAACCACTACGCCATCCGTGCAGTCATTTTATTATTATTTTATTGGTTGAACATGTTTCTGGACCAGTTTAGGTACTAAGAAAACTGCTGCCAGGGAACTACTTCAAAGAATATAAACTACTTTGAGGAAGTTCAGCAACTTGCTCAGCTTCTTTAAAGTACAAGAATCAAATATCGTGTAAACTCGTATGATTTATGTTATAATTGATTGTAATGTGTTTTGTGCATTTAATAAACAAAATATAAAATAAAATAAAATCGTACTAACCTGAGACTTCTTTATAGTATTTAATATTTCATTTTTCTTCTGCCATGCAGGTAACTTTCTCCTCCCTGCCATCATCCTATTATATCTATCGTTATCTCGCTTTTCTAACCATCTCTTAGCTATTTCCTTATTCTCCTTTAGTAGCTCATCAAAATTAACATTAGACCTATCATTCTTACTGTCGCCTTTCTTATAATGCGATGGCAATTCTTTTTTACTTAAACTAGAATTCTCTATTAACTGTGGGAACAGAGCATCTGTGTGACTGGGATATTCCCTAGTATCAAATTGAATAAAATTAATAATATCATCCTCATTGTTGAGTAATTCCACTAATGAGTATATACTTGGTATACCATCCTGTGCTAATATTTTAGCTTCGTCTAATAATCTGGTGGTAACCTTTAAAAATGTAAGCTCTGGAATTATATTGGTCTTCTGTTCTGGTTTAAAGAACAATAAAGGGGCTTGGTATGGGTACACAGTGTCTTCAGGGAACCTTATTTCTAATTCATAGGTAACTTTCGTGGTCTCTTTAGGTTCTGAATGATCTGGCACACTGTTTTCCTCTTTGCTTTCATGTAAAAATTTGCATTTTGCCCCAAATCTACAGGGACCTTTGAGGTATAATTTGCACACTTCTTTCGGTTTTGTTTTGAAATTACTGTTATAGTTCGTGTTTACCTTCTTTTTAGGAACCTCTACTTCTTTGATTTTATACATTTTAGTAAGATAGTCTAGATTCAATTTCACTATCCATACATTATTGTCTTTGATTTTGAAGCTGCTGTCATATATTGATTCCAGTACAGCTTTCTCGTCCAATCTCATTTCTAAAAGCTCCTGTTTCGTAGGAACCTCAGTTGGTTTATCTTGTAAATCAATATTAAAGTACTTTAGGAACAGTATTTCTAGAGCTTTGTCTATGTTTTCTGCCGCAACATCTAATGCTTCCGCACAGTGAGCTTTGTGAAAACTATATCTAAAACAGAAACACTTCTTGTATTTATGTAGGTAATTATTATATCAATGAAAACACAAGTTTAAACCTGAGTATAATTCTTTCCACTGTTATATTACTTTTAGATACATATATCAGGGTAGCATGTCTAAAGTCAGTCAGTCGGGCTCTTTTTCATGGAGAGAATCAACCCACTTACTGCATCCAAGCAATAAGCTTTGTATTCTTACAACATTTTGTTAACCATTTACAGAAAATATCAATTTAATGAAGATTGTCACAGAAATTAATCAACCATAAGAAATATACATACTTCTCTAGTTTAGCAAGAGCAAACGCTCTTAGCCTAGCCTCTGATGTCTCTATATCAGGTTTTGAAGACAGAGAATAGTCACATCCACCTTGCACAACAAGGTTACCTCGCTCCATCCAGTAACGGTTCCCGAGATTTGATCCCTTATCCTGGAATACAAACAAAACTTTTTGTTTCACTTCATTTTCTCTTTTATTCGATTTTTTTTCCTAATCTTGTTTTCTCTTCATGGTCCTTTTTGTTTTTAGTCCTTAATAATGGACATCCTGCCACACATCAAAACAATATTGTGGTATATTTAATAATGCCATTGTATCTATCTGTAAATTGTAAAAGAGTGGCTATGAGTTTGTTCGACCTTTCTTCTCATGAGGCTCAACCCCATGGAAACGGGCAGTTGTAGATCTGCACAGGCATATCATAAATTTTGTGTTTAATTTTTATTAAATTTATTTACTTACTATTTTACAAAACAGAGATTGTTGCTATTGTGTGTGTTGATCTATGACTAGTCTACATAAAAGACGATTTCAAACAATTTTAAAAGAATTAAATGAAATAAAGTTATTTTGACTTTGACTTAGACCAATCAATTTCTGATGTTGCATAGAAGTGTTTCATTCTCGCCAAAAATATATAAAAAGTATAAAACACATGCTAAGTGCACATATTTATAAATAAATGACATGGATCAATGTATATCAATAGAAAGATAATCCTTTACTTTTTGTCTTTCTGTTTGTACATTATGGTTAACAGTGGTCTACAAAATGTTAAAAAAATTCTAAGATGTAATTTACATGAGTGAAAAACATTACCAATGCACCAAAATACAGATGCACAAATACAAGTCTGATCCTGATGTTATACAACTACCAAGCAATGATGGTCAATATCTCAGTAACCAGAGATCTTATCTTTTATTATCTCAGAAAGCTAGTTCTAGGTTGTCGAAAGTCATTGGATGACAAAAAATTTAATAGGTTCAGGCACAATATTGTGCAATCATTTTTTTAGGAACCAAGAATGTATGATGGTTGTATATAAGTTTTACTTTAGATGAATAATGTTAGATATAATAAATAACTTACTTTGTACAAACTAGCACTGCCTAGTTTAAAATTTGGACCATGTATAAATCTCAGTGTGTCCAAAACAATCTTCTGTGAATCTGGATTGAGACGGATAGTCTGCATTTCCACTTTGAGATTTGGGTGAGGATCTGGTTCAGGATCATTTTTAACTTTACTGAAAGAAACAATAATTAGATTTTATTAAAATATGCTATTTGCAAACTCCTTTCCTCTTAAAGAACAATATTATGTACCGGATCCTAGCATCAACTGGTTCTCTTAAGAAGAAATCTTCTGCCAACTGCCTGCTTTGATAATCCATTGCAATAACAGTATACAATTAAATAGAATGAAAAACCAGACAACCGCGAAAAAGGTTTTAGACGAACGTAGGCATGCAGGTTCGAGTCGAGACTCTAACTTGAGACTTGAGACGTTTTGTTGTGTCAATCTGTCAATCTAAATCGTTTTGTTATCTCTCAAATAAAATTAATGAAAAAATATTATTATTATACAAAAAAAGGATTTAAGATTTTTTGTGTGGATTACAATATATTTAATATTTTATAGATTTTACAGAAAAAAATACAGTGGCATTTGAAAAAACTTCACTTTTTTCTGGTACTATTTAATGTGAGATGAAAAATATCAAAACGCTAACTACGTTTGAATTCACGCAGATTTATATTTATTTATTTTTTCCTTTTATGTTTTCTTTTTGGCAAATTCTACAACATGGAACTACATTATTTTTTTTAAATACTAACTATATACTAATCAAAAGTATTTCCATTCTAAAGGTACAAAAATTACATTTCCTCTGATGTTTGAGTTTGAACAACAGATGGCGTCACTTTAGAGAAGATTGGTTATACTTCATGTAATTTTTCAAAGCCTAATGGCAATAACTGTATTTCTAAATTCATATAGAAGGGCATAGAATAAAATAAAATTTACTATTCCCACACCATTTCTTGGTTTTATGACATGTACTTGACTTGAGTTGACTGGCCTGTTAGTCTAGTGACTGACTGAAAGCCAGAGGTCGTGGGTTCGATTAACACCCAGAACAAATCTATTAAACGTAAGTATGTATTTAGAAATATGGTATGTTTATCAGCAGGATGATTACCATAACACAGGTACTGCCTAATTTAAAATCAGACGGCCGTGTGTGGAATGTCCAAAAAAAAGGTTAAATGGCGGTCTTATCGCTAAAAAGCAATTTCATTGGGTGGACAATTCGACTGTAAATAGACGAGTTCTTTTATGTTAAATGATACAAAATAAATTCACCTGAATTGATTAATAAATCAAACGGTATACTTAAGTGTAGTAGATCACAGAATAAGTATCTAATAGTAGGTACCTACAAGATACTGATCAAGTGACTATCTAACAAGTTACACTATTTCCATGCATGATGTTCTTAATAAATTATATAAACTGAAAGATACTGCGATTATATATTTCGTGCGAACATTTGATGAAACAACCCTTGAAAAAATAATTCACATATTTATGTCATAGACGTGACACCATTACAAAATACAATGCAATCGTGACTTAGCCAAGATTTCGGATAGGCAGAGAGCTAGCTTAAAAGAGAATAAACTTCAAAACGCTTTCAATTTTCGTAGTTGAAATATTTACAAATGGCATGTATTAGATTTTAGAATAAGAGAATTTCAACAGCGCAGATGGGACAGTCTGCCGTCTTTAATTATTTCAAGAGAAAACACGGTTCTGATCTGAATGAGACCAATGTTTGGCTAACCGGTAACCGGATCTACGATTTTTTCGAACAGTGGCAGAAACTTGATAGTGGCGCCCCTCTCTCCAGCGTATGAGATAAATTACTTAAAAAACTCACAAATATATAAGTCCACTTGTAGTGTGGGTCTGTGTAGTGCTTTTTTCTTACAAGTCGACGGTGAGCCAATCAGGCTTCTGTATGCTAGGCGCTTTGTGGAGCAAGTTTTTTTATTTTTAATCATACTACATTAGGATTTTGGCACCCCCTGAAACTGCCGCAAGGGGCGGGTGCTCCGGTTTGCCCCATGCTAGATCCAGGGCTGCCGGTAACTTTGACAGTAGTGCTTTGCTTAGAATGGGTACCATTTTAATACGGGACCAATTAATTCTCTTGAAGGCATTAAGAGAATTAAAGTACAAATCATTCTAGATGTCCTGAGTTTGATGTTGAAATTCGGCGCATAAAATCTGAACATTTTAGAAGATGTCGCTGCAACGACTTTAAAAAAAAAGTTTAATTGAAAAAAATACATCTTTAGCTTGCAGTTAGCATCAATTGTGGATATCTTATTATTTTACAGGTATAGCTCTTTAGAAAAACTTCCAATTTTACAAGCATATATATTTATGTATAAATTATAAGTGGTCACTAGCTGTTCACCTATAGCCATCGAAGCTAATTAGTATGTAGCGGTATGTCATCAAGGTGCTAATTATGTAGGAACACGATTCCTGAATGATCACACTTCAAAAGAGTGTTCAGGTTTCAGGAATCAGCTGCGTGCACACAAAATATTTTCATATTTAGCTGGTTCTTATCACACACAGTTCAATCTGTTCCATTATTCTTATGACATTTAAAACATCATGCTCATCAAAGCCTTTTGTAATGTTGTTATTTAATAAGACATACGAAAGACAGAGGGAGAGGACAGTTGCCTCCCATAACAATCTCAAGACACCCTTACCTTCCTTAATATACCTTAATATTATTTACATTTGGAATAATGGGAAATACAAAAGTCAATCGAGAATCTAATAATCAATCGGTAATCTATACCTACCTAAACCTATCTAAAGAGGATTATTTTACGCATATTCTAGATTTTTTTTTAACACTAACACGGAATGCTTAGTACTTACTATAAGTATAGAAAAAGTGCAGAAAATATTTTTTTTAACATTATCCGTAACAAATTAAATAAGTACGCGCAAATAGCTACATAAAGCTACACCTAAGTATAGTCTATGCAAAAACAGCTCGTTATCATCTATACCTTATATTATTTATGTGTCAAATAATCTAAGATTTATACTTATCTTTATATATATAATTCTTCTGCGCGTGTGTATGTGAATAATAATAATACTAATAATTTATTCCATAAACAGTGTTTTTGCACAGTACATGGTTTTACAAATATTACTGTGGGTACATAATACATTTAAATTGGGTCATCTGTGCCTGGACTAGATAAGAAATCTGTATCCCAGACATCAGCGGTCTTCCCTGATTACATCACCTAACTATACCTACCTATACCATTTATTATAACAAAAGTTAAATTCTTAATGAACTCCTCCTAAACGACTGGACCGATTTTGATGAATTTTTTTGTGCGAGTTCAAGTGGATTCGAGAATGGTTTAGATTCACAATTCGGTAATATTCACGAAATATGACGGTATGAATTTCGCCGAGTGAGCTAGTAAATTACTAATCTGAAAGTGAGTTTCTTCGTTACGTTTACACGCCTAAACCACTTAATCGATTTAAAAAAATATTTCAAGTTAGTTCCCCAATCGAAAGCTACATTATCAGCGAGTAACATAGGCTACTTTTTACCGCGATAACCGACATTTCTATCTATAAGCTAGTGTACAATAAAATAAAAGCAAATTTGTAAAAACATATGTTGAAATGCTACATATCTACCTATAATCGATCTCCATTATCAATAAAATCAAGTAGTTAGCAATAGTTTACCTGCTTTCTACGCTTTTTTTTGTTTTAATGCTAAGTACATATATTTACATTACATTACAACCAAGAGTTCTGGTACGAGAGTTGGTGTTGATAAACTAAATTTTAAAATTTAAAAACTTCAAAATTATCCGTTATACACAAAAAAATAAAATTCAATTATTTCCAGCCATATTTTAATCAATTTTAAATTTTAATCTTACATTAATATAAAAGAGAGTAAATGTAAAAGAGAGAGAGAGAAAAGGAAAATATTTCCTGTACGCTATGACAGTTAGATGACAATTAAAAATAGTCAGAACATGTCCATCCATAGTCTTAACAAATGGCCTACAAAACATTCTAGATGCATATAACCGTGTCACTAAATGATATATAAATATAATAATGTATAATGGCAATACAGTAAAGCGTTTAAGAACTCGCGTGGAATACTAATTTCGTATCGGAGATGATCGGAAAGGTTAACATTGATGATACAATGTGGAGGCTATTGTAATATAGCTGTTTTTAATAAACTATGAACTAAGTCCGTCCAGGATTGTGTATTAGACGTACTTTCGTGACGTAACGAGTGCTAAGGATACGAATAAATAATTCTTGACATTCCTAGATATCGAGTTACTCGTTTATTTATTTATTTAAACCTCATACATAGATTAGTGACATGGGATAACATAATTCTGTTTGCATTATTTACTAATCTGATGCTGATAGATGATGTTAAGGTATACATTTAAAAAAGTGATTAAAAAAAAAAAAAGCCCGTTAAATAAAATGTATTATTAATAGTAATGTTATGTCTTTAAAAGTATGTTTCTTATATAGTACATAATTATGCACCTGCTCTCTCTAAAGTCTCTAAAGGTTGACTGGTAGGTAATGCGGTGTGTTATTAAGATCGCCTTGTGCAAATTTGTAATGCAGGAAGTGTAGGTAAAATAAATTTTCAAAAAAAATGCTAATTATAACAATAAATTCCTCGTCAATTGATTTGATACCAAATAAATCAAAAAGAGCTTAGAAGTTTTCACAAATATAAAAAGTATATATTATACTTGCTTTATTTATATACCTACTCATATATTGATTTTGGACAATGTTTACAATTAACAACTTATGTTAAAAATTTCATAGTAGTAAATAGGCAGGTAAATTCAGGTATTACGGGTGAATTTAAATAGGTACTGCATGAGACCAATTTCATTTTTCACTCAGATTGTAAAGAAAAAAAAAACGACCTCGACCTCATAATTTCGTAAATATGTTCAGACTTGTTTGGGCAGCTTACATCGTCCCTTAAAATGACAGTCAAATTAAAATGCCTGTGGAGGTGGTACACTTACATTTTGGTTCCTCTTACCTGTAAGATGGCAATGGCTTTGATGACATTACAGCAGTCAACACTTGATCAGCGACCGCTTATGTGCGCCCTTCATAATAGTCTCACCTACAACAATCGAGGAAATCGATAGCTACTTTTTCTTTGTAATGTGGAAACCCTCTGATCATCATCTCACCGGCTAACGGGAAGTAGTATATGGGAATAAAATTGTCTTAGATACGTCGTTCTATCGGGGACTT